TTCTTGTTGAAAGGGTACTCAATGCCTTATGAGCAATAGCTATGCTTTGCTGGTTGGACAAGTTGAAATACGCTCCATCTTCAACCTTTTGAATCAGGTAATGAAATCATTTGTAGACTCATGCTTGTATTGTTTCACTTTGGTCACGTCACTGATAATCACTTCGAACTCGATCCAATAGACCTACTCATAAAAATTTATCTCCTTTTGTCTCCAAATGTGAATCGAATTGGCTGGTAGGTTGGAGTATCCAACTAGATGTTGCCTTATCACCCTTTTAGGCTAATGTCATATGCTCGACTTTCTGCCTCTTGGGCTAGTGGAATCCTCATTGGGCCTTACTTGGCTTGATAAGCCCACCAACTCTATTGAGTGGAGGTGCCCAACTCCTGGGTTTTCATGAATCTATCACGAGGGAGAAATTTTTCAATATGATCGGTAACGGAGTGGTACACTACGTGTTACGATACAAATAATGGAATATGTGTACTAAAAAGTTAATAACTTGAAAAATAAAATTTTCACCACTTCTACTAAAACACGTGGTGTACCACTTGTGTTTCCGTCATAATGAAAAATTTGTCCACGCGAGGCATCGCGAATATGAGAAGACGGGCGTAAGAAAAGGATAATTCAAGTTGATGGTCTCTCTAGCATCACCCCTGAAAAAATCAAGAGTTAAAATTAGGTTAAATGAGAAGACAGTTGTCAAAAGGAGGGGTTGAGTCACAGCGGAGGCTGGGCAGTGGCTCTTTCGGCACAGCGTGGTCCCTCGTATATTTAATCAAATTTTAAACGTTTTGACCTCCACCTTTGGAGCCAGTTTTCCTGTTTTGAACTCTCTCCTTTCCTGAGCCAAGCCTGAGAGTGAGATCCATTGTCCATACCACTTGCAGTTGCAGATCTCCACAGCTTCAACTTCTTCACCTCCAACGGTAATCCAATACTCTCTCTCTCTCTCTCTCTCTCACACAGAGATGGCAGATATGTATTACTTAATCAAATGAATGAATCTTTGTTCAACTTAATTTCTTATGGCTCTTGGAGTGTTACCCAGCTCAGATCTGTAGTGATTGTGATACTGTTGCTCTCAGTTTAGTCCATAGAATTGCGATATGAGTTCCTCTTTCGTTCGAAATGTTTACATATCTAAATCGGACTCGCGGGCTCGTCGATTTTGTTTTTCTAGTGAGTAATTAGTGAATTTGAATTGTTGAAATATAGTTTTATTATTTGATTGCAGAAAGTGAATCTTGTAAGTTTGAGATTACTTTCGTTATGGAGGGAATTTACAAATTCAGCATAGATTGTTGCTTCCATGCTGAAAATGTTGCAGTTGCCCCTATAATAATTGTTTGTCTTATGCACAAAGGGCATCTGAAAACCTTAGCTTAAGATACTGTGTTGTAGCTTGATAGTAATATCTGCAACAAGGATGCATGTATTGATTTCATCTTTCATTTTTATGTAATGCCTCTGCAGCCAGAACCTTAATTCCAAGCCAAGTTGGTTCTGCTGGTCCCTCGAATAATGAACTCGAATCTCAGCAACAATGCACTGGCCAACAGTGTGCTTGGTTCATCTGTGTGCCATAAGCAATCCACATTACCGGTAAAAAAGGTAGCGTTGAGAGATGTACAGAACGATAATAGAAGCTGTACGCCTAGTTATCCTGAGAATTCTTTTCTAGGACGGCTGCTCGCAGATCCAATTAAGGTTTCTGGAACTAAGATACTCAGCCCTGAGTTTGCGCGGAGCCCTCCTTGCCACCAGTTCACGAGAATCAGCGATCCAAGTGATCATCTCATGCATGGTGGGGTTGTGAAGAAGTTAGATTCGGAACTAGGAAAGCGAAGAGCTCAAGGTGTTAAGGAAGACTGTCTAAATTTCAAACGACATTGTTCGCAAAAGCAGCCAGACCTACCTAAAGAAAGAAACAAGAAGCAAGAGTTAGAGCCATCTTGTATACCTGCATATTCACCAACGCATTGGGCTTCTCCGATTAAATTCTCACCTAATAGACCACCAGTTCCAAATTTTCTTAGAAAGTCTAGTAATGGCCTTCCGGCTGCTCATTCCAAGCACCTTAGATTTACTCCTGAATCTGAAGTTCCCCAATCAGTTCTTTCTGAGAGGAACCGCGATGAGGAAAGGACAGAACGGTTTCTACATCTGCAGAACCTCTTGAAACACTTTGACGAGTCTGATCAGAGCGAATATCTCCACAGTATGTCACTGTCTTCTGGCTATGCCTTTTTAAGATAAAATTTTGCTCTACTAAATGTTTCCAGGACTGAAAATCTCTTCGTTCTGAATGTGTTATCAGTGCTTCGTTGTTTACCTTCATCCGAGCTTAGCAGACATGCCGTTGAGCTAGAGAAAAGATCAATGCAGCTATCAGTTGAGGAAGGTAATCCTATACAAATGTGTGCTATGATTCACAGTTTAATGCTTGCTCTCGGATCCTCCCTTTGATTTCTTTAATTAAATAACTTCTAGTAATCAATGCATATTATGCAGCAAAAGAGATCCAAAAGATGAAAGCTCTAAATATATTGGGGAAGTGAAAAGCATTCAAAACACATTTGTATCGTTAGCTGTGAAGTTCATATCGAGAAACTAACGCTGTCTCATCTACTGCAATATGTCACTCATGGCGTTTTCTCCAACAAGAGCAATAGGTAGGGTTTTACTCTTACCTGTGTGCTATCTCAATTCAATTCGTCACTGCTCCGAAATTGTTCAGACTACAAGTACCTTTGTTTTCACATTTTTGGTGTCTTTTCTACGGCAGAAGAGGTTGTAATGCTTTGCTTCAGTTTTGGTTAGGTTTGATGTTTTAGACAAACAATTTTTTATATAATGATAAACTAGAAATCTCACAGACAGAGAGACTTGTATGTCAAGTGATTAAGAGCGTTTATTCCTGTTTTGATGTTTTTATTCAAATATCATTCTTCAGTATCGCTTGTATTAAAAAAGAAACGTCACACATTCTATACACGTGAGAACGAGATATCGAGAGTTTAAATTGGACAATAGTTGTTGAATTATAGACCAATAAAAAGAAGAAAAATCTAAATGAGCTTCTGTAGCGAAGCAAGGGCCACGAAAGTGTGATTTTTTTCTGGTGGGTGTTTGATGTAGCAAAATTGGTGTGGGCGAGAGAGGCACAGGCTTTTGTGGCTAGTCTTACCTCACGGCCCATTCCAACCTTATCAGCATATTGGCAGTATAGGGCAGCTTTCACACACTACTTTTCTAATATTATTTTTTGGGAGTTTTTTGGTAACTGTGTAGGCCCATTTAGTTTTTGCGTTGTCAGTTTGCTAATTTGGTTATCGTGTTTATTTTTAATTTATTTGTTAATAATCAATTTTGTTTAAGATTTTTAGAATTATGAATGGATTCTGTCCTGGATTAAGCTAACAGAGTCCAATACGAGGATTTCTAGTTTATCCCGGAATCGGACAGTCATTGTGCAGTTACAAAGAGCACACGTTTCAAGGTGTTCTTGGTATACGTGGCGACGTAGGAGTGGGCAATGTCACCGGCATCAGTGGTTGTGCATAGATGTTAGCAAAACACCAAAACTAGGATAAGGAAGGATGAATGCATGACGTTCTCAATTATTCACATTATTTTTTTCCACCTCGCTCTCTGTCTTTTTGCAATTACCATACAAAATATCAGCGACGTTTCGCAATATATCGCATACCTGCACGCTAATATTAGTTCTTGTCGTTTGAATGATTTTGCGCTTGCACCCAATTATATGTTGGCTGGACTTATACATTTATATAGGGCTGGTAAAAATTTCCAAAAATCTCAAACCAAATCGAAAAAATTTCAAACCCAAATCGAAATTATCTCGAACTTTGGTAATCCCGTACCGAAAAATACCAAAATATTCGGTATGGTATTGGTTTTCAGATTTCATTTTTCGATAATCCTGAAATCCCGAAATCTTCTTTTACTTTTGCTTTTGGTTCGTACTTCCCACCCTATCAAAGAACAAAGTGTGCAGAAAAGCAAACAGCAATATCAATTATATATTATTAAAATAATCAAAGTGTGTAGAAAAGCACATGAATGTTGTGTGTTGTCTAAATTACTATCAAGCAAATTGCAAACATAGCCTATTGTATAATATTAAAATAAGAAAAGTTTACAGAAAGATGTCTAAAGACTCAGACTCTTTAGACAAAATGTCTCTCCCATCTTTGCCTTCGCCAAAGTCTCCATCTCTGCCTTCGCCAAAATCTCAGACTCTTTCTGTCTCTCCTCTCAAATTCGAAGATCTACGTATCCTCTCACAATTAGACTCTAACCAACTCTCTCCACTTCGGCCACCATCACACCTCATTGCTTCATCCCCACCTCTGATTCTCTCCAGCGATTCTCTATATGTGTGGGGTTTCAAATCAAGGTTAGGGTTTCAAATTGGGGCTTAGGGTTTCGAATTGGGGGCTCAGGTCAGGAGAAAGACGAAGGTTTGACTATCTCTGCACTCTATCTCTCTCTCTCGACCTTCAATTTTCATCGATTCACCACTGTTTCTGATTTTAAATTGGGGTTTTAAATTTTAAAATTTTAATGCAGGTTCAGATGATTTCATGTTCGGTTTTGGGAAATCCTAAAATACTGAAAATATTTCGGGAATACCGAAATTTTGATTTGGGATCGGTCCTCAGATTTCCATCCCGAAAATAATCGGTTTGAGACTTGATATGCCGTTTTCAGTTCGGTATCCCATACCGAACCAGGATCAATATTTATAATTTTGTATATTTATTATTGAATTGAATAAACCACGAATAAACCTTGTCTAATATTTATAATTTTGCCATGTAAATGCACCAAAATTCCATTTCAAAGGACTTGGCGATAATCATTCCGACTCGTGACGATAAATTGGAGAAGATACGTAGTGAACTTCCAGCTGTGCGTGTGGATAAAAATAACGTGAGGCTGGGAGCGGAAAATGGTAATTTCACACAAAAGATTGAGCCACGCCCACGACCCATACCCAAAGCCGAAACTCAGCGTTTATAAATCCCCCGAATTTGCTTTCATTTCCTCTGCTCTCCTCTTGCCTTCTCCATCAAGCTATCTCTCTAACCTGGCCTTCCTCCATGGATCCTTACAGGGTAATTCTCTAATCTTAATCTTAATCTTTCTGGGATTTTTTTCTTTTTTACTTGTTTATGCTCTTAATTTGATTTATTTAAGTTCGTTGAATTACTTTTCTTGTTTATTTTCTTGGCAACCAAACAGAGCCCTCTCTAATGGATTTGGATTGGTTTGTTTTTGTGTGTTGTTGCAGCACCGCCCTTCAAGTGCTTTCAATTCCCCGTTCTGGACCACCAATTCCGGTGCTCCAGTTTGGAACAACAACTCTTCTCTGACTGTTGGACCCAGAGGTTATTTCATTCTTAATCCACTTTTGATTTATCTATTTATTTATTTTCTTTTGACGGATTTTCAATTGCAAATTTGCATTAAAGTTTTACATTTTTGTGTTTTTTTAGTCGCACATCGCTTTTCAAGCACCTTGGGAATAATCATAATCATGTTTTGATGCTGTTATCTGTGTATGCATATATACATATATTATATATATATATATATTATACATATATATATATATATATATGTGTTGTGTGTGTATCTGTGTACACACAGGCGTACATATATATGGCTTACGAGAAAGTTTCGATATTCTATCTATGTGTTATTGTGAGCTACAAGATGACTTTTTGGATGTTTGTATCATTACCAAGTTGAAGATGATTACTATTTTGAAACTCTTGTTGTTTTTGAGATACACACACACACACACACACACACACACATATATATGTATGTATATTTACTTATTTATATAGTTTGTATTTGAAGTTAGAACTTTACCTATTTGACATTTATGTTTAAATTTCTCAATTATAGTTCTCAGTCTGTTGGTTTTCAATGAATTCTTGCTTCTCGGGTCACTTTTTTTCATTGCTTCTCGGGTTGTCAAGATGGATTTTTTGATCGTCTGGTTGCCTGAAACTAAATAAAAGTTACTATCTTTACAAGGGAGAGCAGTTTTCTATATTTGACATACTTTATAAAATGTATAACCGGTAGTTTCATTCTTATCACATCTTTTGCATGTAATCGGGATGGTTGATTATGTCGAGTTGAGTAGATGCAGTTAAGAATTTAATTCTTTGTCTATTTGTCAGGGCCAATTCTGCTTGAGGACTACCATCTGGTGGAGAAACTCGCCAATTTTGATAGAGAACGGATCCCAGAGCGTGTTGTCCATGCTAGGGGAGCCAGTGCAAAAGGTTTCTTTGAGGTCACCCATGATATTTCTCACCTTTCATGTGCTGACTTCCTTCGAGCCCCTGGAGTTCAGACACCTGTCATTGTGCGTTTCTCCACTGTTATCCATGAGCGTGGCAGCCCTGAAACCCTGAGGGATCCTCGTGGTTTTGCAGTGAAGTTTTACACCAGAGAGGTGAGGTTTCAATGGCTTATTGATGTTTTATGACCTCTGGATAATGATAGTTGAGTTTTGACACGTCGATGATCGTAATTATATTCAACAGCATATTTATAGTTAAAAATACGCAGTGGTATCTCTAGTCACAGCTCCAGTGACAAATACTTAAGTCATATTTAATTAACTGAACCCAGTAGTCTTGTGACTTCCATGAAATATTGCATTCTTCCTTTTCTTTTATTTTTTATTTTTTAAATATTGTTTTGATTCTGCAGATTGTTGATTTCTTTGTAACATTATTATTAACTATTATTAACCCTTGGAAATCATTTGGTCCTAATGTTGTTGTTTGTTTATACATGCATTCCTTTCTTTGCTCATGCTATGACTTTATTTTTCTTAAACAGGGTAATTTTGACTTGGTGGGAAACAATTTCCCCGTCTTTTTTGTCCGTGATGGAATGAAATTCCCGGACATGGTCCATGCTCTCAAACCGAACCCTAAGTCCCACATCCAAGAGAATTGGAGGATCCTTGACTTCTTCTCCCACCATCCAGAAAGCCTGCACATGTTCACCTTCCTATTGGATGACCTGGGAGTTCCACAAGATTACAGGCACATGGAAGGGTCTGGTGTTAACACCTATACTCTTATCAATAAGGCCGGGAAGGCACATTACGTGAAATTTCATTGGAAACCCACTTGTGGAGTCAAGTGTTTGTTGGAGGATGAGGCTATTAAGGTTGGAGGAGCTAATCACAGCCACGCTACCAAGGATCTCTATGACTCCATCGCAGCTGGCAACTACCCGGAATGGAAACTTTTTATTCAGACAATTGATCCTGATCATGAAGACAGATTTGACTTTGACCCACTTGATGTTACTAAGACCTGGCCTGAAGATATTCTTCCCCTGCAGCCGGTTGGCCGTTTGGTGCTGAATAAGAACATTGATAACTTCTTTGCAGAGAATGAACAACTTGCTTTCTGCCCTGCCATTGTTGTCCCTGGTGTCTACTATTCAGATGATAAGTTGCTCCAAACTCGAATCTTCTCCTATTCTGATACTCAGAGGCACCGTCTTGGCCCGAACTATCTGCAGCTCCCAGTTAATGCTCCCAAGTGTTCTCATCACAACAATCACCATGAAGGATTTATGAATTTCATGCACAGAGATGAGGAGGTACTTTTGCTCTTTTGAATTTCTTTTCCAAGTACGATACCACTTTTTCCCTCAATTGCTGACGCTTATTGAATATCTTTGTGCCTTTTTACACTTGCATTGCTAAAGATTCAGACATGTGCTTAAATTTTCACTTGTTTGTTCATCAAAGTTTTCTCTGCTCAGATGCCATACTGTGTTCTGTAGGTTAACTACTTCCCATCAAGGTATGATCCTGCTCGCCATGCTGAGACCTTCCCAATTCCTTCTAATATTTGCACTGGAAAGCGTGAGAAGGTCAGTTTGTATCAATGTAGAAGAATTCATTTAAATTTCCCTTAGTTTTCCCATGTTCTTGTTTTCTGTGTTTTTCTTTTTACTTTAAACTTGAAAGCACTTGGAATGTAAAAAGTTAGATACATGCATGAATGCTTGTTGCATTTCTGAATCCTTTTGGTGTGCTGCACATCATGATTCATGTAGCAACTTTGCGTTTAATTTGCGTATGTTGGTTTTGTTGGATATGCAGTGCGTCATTGAGAAGGAGAACAACTTCAAGCAACCCGGAGAGAGATACAGATCTTGGGCACCCGACAGGTTTGTCAACCCTATAATGTCTCTATGTGGAAATAATTGTATTTAAACGTCATGTTCATAATCTAAATGTTCATTGCAGGCAAGAGCGATTCCTCCACCGATGGGTTGATGCCCTATCCGACCCTCGTGTCACCTATGAAATTCGCAGCATTTGGATCTCGTACTGGTCTCAGGTGAGTGCATACGTGCAAAGTATTCGCTTTTGTGAATTGATATAATTGGATGTGATTTCGTACTGGAATATGATGTGTGCTGGTGGTAATTGAAATGCAGGCTGACCGATCCTTCGGTCAAAAACTGGCATCTCGTCTGAACGTGAGGCCGAGCATTTGAGGGCGATGCCAATGCAAGATGTTTGAGTTTCGAGAAGACATAGTGAAAGGAAAATGTGGGAGGAGAGAAATCAAATGTTAAATTGGTTTATCCTTGTGTTGTGATACTAAATTTCGCATGTAAAAAAAAAAAAAAAAAAAAAATTAAAAAATTAAAAAATAGAAAAAGAGATTTGAGAGAATCAGTGGGGGATGGGTGGTGATTCTAAAATGGTGATGAAGGCTGATGCAGCAAATGGAATCAGAAATTCTTAGAGGGATGAGTAAAATAAGGAGGGATGGTTGGTGCCTCGGCACTCACCATCTCCTCAACATTTTTAAGATTAACCAGTTTTTCTTGTCTATTATTTGACCAAACCATGCCAGGATTTTACTAGATTGGAATAACAACGTTGACATCTTGGAAAAGATATAAAGTTTAACTAATTTACTTGTATTCTTATGGCGTATGCATTGCTAAAATGCTATAATTTTCCGAGTTTAATGTCTTCCAAATAAGTTCGGAGAAGTATGTGAGATTTAGTTAGAAAACAAGTTGAGTCTTAATCAATAAGAACTGAGATTGTCGTACATTATTAATAGACTTAATGCATAGAAGCTATTGATTGTGTCTATTAACTACAAATTTGTGTGATATCCTTTAGAAACTTTATGTACCTATAAGCAATAAAATGGGCTTTAAGAGGAAGATAGCATTGATCCAAAATGGCACAAAGTCACATGTCATATCTCAAAAGTTCCCGTTAATTTTCATTAATTCTCAAAATTACCAAATTAATCCAAAATGGAACACAATCACACGTCAAATTTCAAATGGCACAATGCCCCTCCAAAATTCGAATTGGAACTATATATGTAAGCAATGTAGTATAAAATTTTAGACGTAACCATGCTTCCCAAAACAAATGGATTTTTCATATCAATCTTGGCAAAGGCAACATCGTATTCTTATTCCCCAATCCCTTTAGGGCCAGACAAACATCCATGCTCTATATGGTGGATGAGTACTTAGTAGTTACCAGTGTATCTCGGAGGTCATAAAAGGTAACATCATCAAATTTTTTGTTGCTGGTTGGACAAATTGAAATTACGCTTCATCTTCAACATATCATGCAATGAAATCCTTTGTAAACTCATGCTCGTATTGTTTCATTTTGGTCAGGTCACTGATAAGCACTTCGAACTCGATCCAATAGACCTACTCATAAAAATTTATCTCCTTTTGTCTCCAAATGTGGATCGAATTGGCTGGTGGGTTGGAGTATCCTGCTAGATCTTGCCTTATCAGACCTTTTTAGGCTGATGTCATCTGCTCAACCTTCTGCCTCCTGGGCTAGTGGAATTCTCATTGGGCCTTATTTGGCTTGATAAGCCAGCCAACTCTATTGAGCGGAGTTGCCCAACTCCTTGGTTTACGTGAATTTATGACGCGAGGCGTCGTAAACATGAGAAGACGAATGTCAAAATGATTTGACCTCCACCTTTGGAGCCAGTTTTCCTGTTTTGAACTCTCTCCTTTCCTGAGCCAAGCCTGAGAGTGAGATCCATTCCCAATACGACTTGCAGTTGCAGATCTCCACAGCTCCAACTTCTTCACCTCCAACGGTAATCCAATACTCTCTTTCTCGCTCTCTCTCACACACACAGAGATGGTAGATATGTATTACTTAATCGAATGAATGAATCTTGTTCAATTTAATTCCTATGGCTCTTGGAGTGTTGCTCTCAGTTTAGTCCATTGAATTGCGATATGAGTTCCTCTTTCGTTCGAATTGTTTACATATCTAAATCGGACTCGCGGGCTCATCAATTTTGGTTTTCTAGTGAGTAATTAGTGAATTTGAATTGTTGAAATATAGTTTTATTATTTGATTGCAGAAAGTGAATCTTGTAAGTTTGAGATTACTTTCGTTATGGACGGAATTTACAAATTCAGCATAGATTGTTGCTTCCCTACTGAAAATGTTGCAGTTGCCCCTATAATAATTGTTTTAGTCTTATGCATCTGAAAACCTCAGCTTAAGATACTGTGTTGTAGCATGTATTGATTTCATCTTTCATTTTTATGTAATGCCTCTGCAGCCAGAACCTTAATTCCAAGCCAAGTTGGTTCTGCTGGTCCCTCGAATAATGAACTCGAATCTCAGCAACAATGCACTGGCCAACAGTGTGCTTGGTTCATCTATGTGCCATAAGCAATCCACATTACCGGTAAAAAAGGTGGCGTTGAGAGATGTACAGAACGATAATAGAAGCTGTACGCCTAGTTATCCTGAGAATTCTTTTCTAGGACGGCTCTTCGCAGATCCAAGTAAGGTTTCTGGAACTAAGATACTCAGCCCTGAGTTTGCGCGGAGCCCTCCTTGCCACCAGTTCACGAGAATCAGCGATCCAAGTGATCATCTCATGCATGGTGGGGTTGTGAAGAAGTTAGATTCGGAGCTAGGAAAGCGAAGAGCTCAAGGTGTTAAGGAAGATTGTCTAAATTTCAAACGACATTGTTCGCAAAAGCAGCCAGACCTGCCTAAAGAAAGAAACAAGAAGCAAGAGTTAGAGCCATCTTGTATATCTGCATTTTCACCAAAGCATTGGACTTCTCCGATTAAATTCTCACCTGGTAGACCACCAGTTCCAAATTTTCTTAGAAAGTCTAGTAATGGCCTTCCAGCTGCTCATTCCAAGCACCTTAGATTTACTCCTGAATCTGAAGTTTCCCAGTCAGTTCTTTCTGAGAGGAACCGTGATGAGGAAAGGACAGAACGGTTTCTACATCTGCAGAACCTCTTGAAACACTTTGACGAGTCTGATCAGAGCGAATATCTCCAGAGTATGTCACTGTCTTCTGGCAATGCTTCTTTAAGATAAAATTTTGCTATAGTAAAATTTTCCAGTACTGAAAATCTCTTTGTTCTGAATGCGTTATCAGTGCTTCGTTGTATACCTTCATCCGAGCTTAGCAGACATGCCGTTGAGCTAGAGAAAAGATCAATGCAGCTATCAGTTGAGGAAGGTAATCCTATATAAATGTGTGCTATGATTCACAGTTTGGTGCTTGCTTTCGGATCCTCCCTTTGATTTTTTTAACTAAATAACTTCTAGTAATCAATGCATATTACGCAGCAAAAGAGATCCAAAAGATGAAAGCTCTAAATATATTGGGGAAGTGAAAAGCATTCAAAACACATTTGTATCGTTAGCTGTGAAGTTCATATCGAGAAACTGATGCTGGCTCATCTACTGCCATATGTCACTCATGGCGTTTTCTCCAACAAGAGCAATAGGTAGGGTTTTACTCTTACCTGTGTACTATCTCAATTCAATTCATCACTGCTCCGAAATTGTTCAGACTACATATACCTTTGTTTTCACATTTTTGGTGTCTTTTCTACGGCAGAAGAGGTTGTAATGCTTTGCTTCAGTTTTGATTAGGTTTGATGTTTTAGACAAACCATTTTTAATATAATGATAAACTAGAAATCTCACAGGCAGAGACTTGTACGTCAAGTGGTTAAGAGCGTTCACTCTTGTTTCGAGGTCTTTTATTCAAATATCATTCTTCAGTATCGCTTGTATAAAAAAAAGTAACGTCAAACATGTTATACATGTGAGAATGACAGTTACTACACGAGAAAGCCAGAGTTTAAATTGGACAATAGTTGTTTAATTATAGACCAATAAAAGGAAGAAAAATCTAAATGAGCTTATGGACCAAGCAAGAGCCATGAAAGAGTGATTTTTTTTTTTTTTTCTGGTGGGTGTTTGATACAAAAAAATTGAAGTGGTCCAGAGGCACAGGCTTTTGTGGCTAATCCCACCTCACGGCCCATTCCAACCTTATCATCATATTGACAGTATATGGCAGCTTCCACACACATTACTTTTCTAATATTATTTTTTGGGAGTTTTTTAGGTTACTGTATTGGAGCATTTAGTTTTTGTGTTATCAGTTTGTCTATTTGGTTATTGTGTTTATTTTTAATTTATTTTGTAATAATCAATTTTGTTTAAGATTTCTAGAATTATGAATGGATGCTGTCGTAGATTCGTTAACGGAGGCCAATACAAGAACTAAATTAGTCAAATTGAAAACACGTGGATTAAATTAATTTTTTATTAAGATAATATATTTATATTACTGGTGGTCACTATGTTATGTTACACAATGAGTCAGCTAATAAAATTTAGTGTCAACTCGTCATCTACAGAAGTCAAACTCAATAGTCCTGTTTTATAATTAACAAAAGTATCACTAAATTGTCGTACGAAGTGACACTATTCGTTTTTGTAAAAACTAGCTAAAAGCATCTTTTAGTGAAAGCACTAAATTTTTGTTAAACGGGCAAGTGAACTGTATCAAAAAAATTGCAGTAGCTACTCAGTTTAACTTTTTATATAGAAATTTTAAAAGACTTTGAATATTTTATTATTAACGAACCCAATCTACTTGTTTCATAATAAATAAATAAATAAATAAAACTGACACTAATTTTATTATTTTTTTAATATTTAACGGGTGAATATTATTCTCTCCTAAAACCTAGTGGATGACTACTGTTCACTAACACTGTCCACCCGGTTTTGCCCCTCATTCACTTCAAGGTGTTTTGGTTTTAGTGGGGTTGTATGGTGAATTGGCCGTTTTGCCCCTCTCTCATTTTTCTTCCGTGCATGCGTCTCCTCATTTCCACAGATTTGAAAAGTCTTCCTGATCAATTCAACCCTTCCGAGACTCCTTCCACGGATACTTGAATTGCGTACTCTGTTTTTATAGGAAGGATTTATCCATTTACGTCAAGTTTGTAGATTGACACGGCTGGTAAACAATAGAGCGAAGAAAAAAGAGAATTGTAGGGTTTTACTTTGTTTTCGTCGCGATTGGATAACAATGTGCCAGTTGAACATCTGCTTATAAAAGTATGTTTGAATGCATGTTTATCTTGGTTAATTTTCTGACTATGGTTTCTTACAGGCTGGTGCTCATACTGTATTATAATATAAATAATATAATGTATTATAATGTATATTCGTATGTTGATGGATTATAGTATAATGCATGTTTATGTTGGTAAAAGTAATATTGGAATGATATTTCATCTCTCCTCTTTTTCTATGCCAATTACATGATTATAGTTCCTCTTTTTGTTCAGCTCTAAACCCCTCTCCCCTTGTAATTATTGAATTCCTTACGAGTGATGTTTTGGCTTTTAGTTAAATTAGGCCAGGAAAAGTTCTGTACTTGCTGACTTTTGGAATGATAATTATCAGTCTACTACATAGATATATTGAATTTATTATAAACAGTTATGTAAAATAATGAAAAATCAAAAAGAAAAACAACGGAGATACTGCACAATTAAAATGAATCAGGGATTATATATTAGTATTTAAGCTATATAACGCTTATGGATGTGTACCTCACCTCGTTGTGTCAAATAA